GCCAATACCAAGCTGTTTGCAGAACTATTGCTCTATAGTAGAGCTTGAAATCAGGGATGGTGATGCCTCCAGAAGATCCTTTATTGTAAAGAGTTGTTTTAGCTATCCTGGGTTTTTTATATTTCCATATAAAGTTGAGTATTGTTCTTTCAATGGGATCACTAATGTAGACTATCATGCCGTCTGCAAATAGTGAAAGTTTGACTTCTTCCTTTCCAATTTGTATCCCTTTGATCCCCTTTTCTTGTCTTTTTCCTATAGCTAGAACTTCAAGTACAATATTGAAGAGATATGGAGAGAGTGGACAGCCTTTTCTTGTTCCTGATTTTAGAGGAAAAGCTTCGAGTTTCTCTCCATTTAGTTTGAGGTTGGCTATTGGTTTGGTGTATATTGCGTTTATCATGTTTAATCATGTTTAGACATGTTCCTGTAATTCCTGCTCTCTCCAAGTTCTTCATCATGAAGGGATATTGGATTTTGTCAAAGGCTTTTTCAGCGTCTAGTGAGATGATCATGTGGTTTTTGTTTTTCAGTTTGTTTATATGGTGGATTACATTGATGGATTTTCATATGTTGAAACATCCTCCCATCCCTGGGATGAAGCCTACTTGATCATGGTGGATGATTTTCCTGATAAGTTCTTGGATTCGGTTCGCCAATATTTTATTGAGTATTTTAGCATCGATGTTCATGAGGGATATCAGCCTGTAGTTCTCTTTCTTAGTCTTTGTGTGGTCTGGGTATCAAAGTGATTGTAGCCTTGTAGAAAGAGTTTGGCAATATCTCACCTGCTTCTATTGTGCAGAACAATTTGAGGAGTGCTAGAATTAGCTCTTGTTTGAATTTCTGGTAGAATTCTGCACTGAAGCCATCTGGCCCTGGGCTTTTTTTGGTAGGGAGGCTTTTGATGACTGCTTCTATTTCATTAAGGGTTATAGGTTGATTTAAACTGTTTAATCTGATTTTGATTTAATTTTGGTAATTGATATTTATCCAGAAAGGTGTCCATTTCCTTTAGATTTTCCAATTTTGTGGAGTACGGGTTTTCAAAGTATGACCTGAAGATTCTCTGGATTTCCTCAGTGTCCATTGTTATATCCCCCTTTTCATTTCTGATTTTATTAATTAGCATGCTCTCTCTGCTTTTTGGTTAGTTTGGCTAGAGGTTTGTCTATCTTATTGATCTTCTCAAAGAACCAACTCTTTGTTTCATTGATTCTTTGTACTGTTTTCCTAGTTTCTACTTTGTTGATTTCTTCTCTCAGGTGGAATATTTCCTGGCACCTACTCTTCCTTGGTGTGTTTGCTTCTCTTTGCTATAAAGCTTTCAGTTGTTCTGTCAATTCTCTAATCTGACTTTCTTCCAGTTTCTTCATGTGGGCACTTAGTGCTATGAACTTCCCTCTTAGCACTGCTTTCAGGGTGTCCCATAAGTTCGGGTATGTTGTGTCTACATTCTCATTAAATTCTAGGAAGTCTTTAATTTCTTTTTTTATTTCTTCCTCAACCCAGGAATGGTGCAATTGGGTGTTAATCATTTTCCACGTGAATGTAGGTTTTCTGAAATTTGTATTGCTGTTGAATTCTAGCTTTAATGCATGGTGGTTTGATAAGATACAGGGGGTTATTTCAATTCTTTTATAACTGTGGAGTTTGCTTTGCTGCCAACTATATGGTCAATTTTTGAGAAGTTTCCATGTGGCGCTGAGAAGAAGGTATATTCTTTTGTGTTTGGATGGAATGTTCTATAGATATCTGTTAAACCCAGTTGTGTCATAACTTCTGTCAGATCCTTTGTTTCTTTGTTAAGTTTCTGTCTGGTGGTCCTGTCTAGTGGTGTAAGGGGGGTGTTTAAGTCTCCTACTATAAGTGCTTGTAGTTGTATGTGTGGTTTGAGCTTTAGTTATGTTTCTTTTACAAATGTGGGTGCTTTCGTATTTGGGGCACAGATGTTCAGGATTGAGACTTCATCTTGATGGATTTTTCCTGTGATGAGTATGAAATTCCCTTCTTCATCTCTTTTGATTGCTTTTAGTTTAGAGTCTAATTTGTTAGATATTAGGATTGCTACACCAGCTTGTTTCTTGAGCCCATTTGATTGAAAATTTTTTCCCCATCCTTTCACTCTTAGGTATCACCTGTCTTTGAAATTGAGGTGTGTTTCTTGTAGTGGACTTAGGTTATAGGCTTTAAAAAAGCACTTGCTTTACCATCATAAAAGTATCTCCTTAGCTATTTGTTGTTGATAAGTTTGAAATCCACAGTTACTTCATATCTCTTGCTACTGAGTTAATTAAACTGAATTAATAAATGCAGATTCAATGAACAGAGAAAAGCAACTGTTGGGTTACCATCTGGAAGCCTGGGAGGAGTCATAGGGCAAAGAAGGAAACCAGGTAGCCTATTGACATGGTCCTGAACAGCCCTAGAAATGGGCTAACTATTGGTGGGCTTTTTGAGGGTAGGGAGTTGTTGTTCTTTGGGCTTTCTAAGGGGGCAGGAAAGAGAGAAAGAGGGAGGTGGGGCTTCTACCTAATTACCCATGAGATACAGTATTATGTCTTTGAGTTACATGTGATCAGTGTAATACGATTTAGTCATACATATATTATACACTCTACACTTCTGAATCTACTTCCTCTTTATCAATATATTCAGAGACTTTTCCTTGTCTTACCATATCTGTTTTTATGTTGTTTGGTTGTTGTCTATTGGAGACCTGCTCTTTTCTTACTGAAATGGAGAGTCAGTTAATCTGGTGGAAAGGTGATTTAGGGAGACCTTGGAAAAGTGGGGGGAAGATGGGGAACTGTGTTCTGAATATACTGTGGGAGACAGGAATCCGTTTTCAATGAAAATAAAATTGAATTTAGAAAAAATTTTTTCACCTCAAATTACAGCATTACTAACTGGTGTGTAAGAGCAAGATATTCAAATTCTCCTTTCTTATCTGTTTCCCTTGAATTTCTGAACATATTTCCATAAAATGAAGCAAGAATGATAGCTGGCATGAAAATAACAGATCCAAAGAAACAGAGAAAGTACAAGCTGCAACATGGTAACTTAATATTCTTTGCAATGAACTGGTCCATGTATCCAGCTAGTTCTCTCTCTACACCAGTGACCTTTTGTAGGGGAGGGAAGACAGGAAATGGTATTATTGACATGAAAACAGGAAAAGACAAGAACTATTAAATTGCTTTTGTAGATACTCTTACTTTAAGTGGAAGAGTGTCCAATATCCATTTAAAGTTAAATTTAATCACAAATAAAAAATGTATCAAGAATAAAATCTGTGTTAATGTTCTTGCTATATTGATAGAGGAAAGAGTATTAATCTATTGTTCAGTATTACACTTGATTTTTCTACTTATGTTCTGATTATTTTACCAATTCTGAAATAAAAATAGTGCATTTCATAATTTAAGAGCAAAAACAATTGAACTGATTCCATTCCTAAATGAACATGGTGTTACCAAGTAAAAATGAACAGAAGTATTGCTTTGAGCAAAAATTCTGAACACAATCAGAAAATTTGTTGGGAATTTCAAAGTTGAGGTGCTCTTAACCTCCTGTGAGAAAGATTTTATTTTCTTAATCTCTATATTATTTTATATCACTAATCAGATGTTCGATGTTAAATTTAAATATATAATTATTTTTCTCACAGAGTCTATGATCTTTGAAATTTACTTAGGTAAATTTCCTTAGCTCAGGGACCCCAGATTGATGACTGAGTGACCAGCATGGGACTGATCCAGATCCCCTGAATTTGGGTGGCCAGTGAGGAGGCCTCATTAAACTATGGGGCCTCAGGTAGTAGCCAAGTATTTATCCTTGGCAGCAAAATGGACTCTGGGAGCCCATTCCTATGGAGGGAGGCTATCTCAGTCTGGTCACATGGGTGAATGTGTCCTAGGCCTTGCCCAGGATGATTGGACAGACTTCAGATATCCCCCATGGAGGACCTCACCTTCCCTGGGGAGCAGAGAGGAGATGGCATGGGGGGTTGAGAATAGAATTTTGAATATATTTTAGGCATAACTTTGTGCTGACTATAGTGACATACTGATATACTCTCACACACAAACACATACACACACACACACACACACACACACACACACACACTATAGTCTGTGAATTTCAAATCTGAGGCTTTAGGAGTGAGCTTATTCACCTTGGTCTCCTGAATGGTCATACATCCCATTGTATCTAGACAGTAGAAATTGTACATGATGTTTTTGTTAGTTTTTAAATGAAGACAAAAAGATGACATAGTTATAAAGAAAGGTGCAACTAGAAAAAATTGAGGAAAATATTGAATATGAGCAAAGTATAATTAAGTCATAGTGCTTTAGTTCACAAAGAACTAATTAACAATAAAATTTATAAGAATGGAAAACACACAGTGTTTTTATATAGTTAATATTTGTTCACAATATACCTTTAGTAAATATTGGGGAAATTAATAAGTCATTCTAAATATGATACATATGATACATTTCCATAGTAAAATATTCAGTCATGTCAAAATGTATTTGCAGTTTTTGAAATAGTTGATGTAAGTATAATTGATTAATTTGTGGCATTAGAAAGTAAACATACAAACTCATTTGTTACAAAATCAAAATTTTCCTTGTCAGAAACACCCTTACCTTGGGTTCCAGTCAAATAACTACACTCCAGTTTGAATATACGTGCCACTGATTTCATTTACTTTAGATTTTATGTCCTTTCTTTCATTAATACTGTAATTGTTGAAACTAATTTGCCGAAATACTTTAAAGAGTTATCACCCATAATTTTGCATTGTATTAAACCATTCCTGTGCCTCAATTAGTATAATTTATTTTATTCTGTATGTCTACAGTTAAAACTCTAACACATTCTGTAAATTTTATTTCCCTGCCTCTACTCTTTTTACTTACAAACTATTCAGGGAAAGGAAGGCATCTTACTCATAAGATAGACTGGCTCACAAATCACAGTCTGGTTACCTTGTATCATCAGATGAAGATGACATACTCCTGGGTCTTGGGAATCTGTAAGTAAAACAAAAAAAAAATGTATCGGTTCCATGAATGTGGTTGTTATCTTGCTGTTAAATAGATTGCCTAGAAATGTGAGATCTGGCAACTTCACAAGCATTCAGACTACTTACCTATGCAAAGTCATTCAGCTCTAATCTGATAAAGTATCTGCAGCTACATTTTCACTTCCCATTTCCAATGCCACAAATGAGTACTTTTCTGTACACATACACACACACACACACACACACACACACACACACACACACACACACAGAAACACACAACACATGCACAATCATGCATGTATAATTTATTAAGATGAATAATTGTTTCATAATACAGAAATTACAGAAATACTTTTATATGTTTAATCACAAAATAAACTCTAGGAATAGCCACTTATATTTTCTTTAAAACAAACACAATGTTTCATGTCTAAAGTATATGTGATCAATAAAGCCATCCTTAAGTTTCAACTCTCTATAAATCACTGCTCACTTACCATGAAGCTGAGATTTAAATGTAACATGACTCCAGATCATCAGTTTATTTTGATTGGCACTATTCTTGTTGTTACTCTTGTTTTATGTGAGTTTCATTGCTAGTTTGTGTCAGATGAAATGAATCTTCTGAATTTTTAAAAACAAATATTTAGTCTTGTTTCAATACTCTTCAAACATCCTCCACAATCTCTTCTCATCCAACTTTGTGTCCTTCCGTTCTCTTCAAATGAGAAAAAATGGAGAAAAATAGTAGAAGAAGAAGAAGAAGAAGAAGAAGAAGAAGAAGAAGAAGAAGACACCGATGGCATGGCATCCTATTTGTATTGACCGAATGCTACTGAATATGGGGACTGAGTGGATGTTGGTTGATATGGCTACTGTTATTCCACTGAAGAAATCTAATTTTCCTTCTCCCAGAAGCTTCAATTTGTAAATAGTTTTTAGGCAATGGATGGGTATTCTTATTCATTGCATCTAGAAAATGATGACAGCCATAAAATAAAAGGAAATGTGCTAACCAATGCAATTATTGGAATTGGGAGAAGTGCATTCAAAGTTTAGTAATTTTAGTTATAATGATATGTGTAATTGGTAATCAAGATTGTAACAAAATCAGTTGACATGCATGATAGATTCAAAGAAAGCCTGCATTTCAGTTAGATGAGCATCAAGTGTTATGTTTTCATGAGTTACAGTCAACATATAAGTATTTAAGGACATCTTATTTTAAATATGAACATGTACTGGTGGGATATACATATACATGTGAATATACACATACACTATAAGGTATATGTTTCATTTCTACACATATTAGATTTTTAGATTCTGTGTCATTATATAAACAAATGTAAGCCAATAATGAATTACTTTAGCTCAGTGGATTTGAAATATAAATGAATTTTTGAAATATTTCCCAAAATGCTATTTTTTAAGACTTTGACAAAGCCAGGAACAGAGTTTCAGACATTTGGAACAATGACAAAAATTTTTACTAAATTTTACATTATATTCTTCTGTTTGCTACAACTGGTCAGGAATCTAAAGGGTTCTAGGAGGCCACAGATGTTCTTAGATCTTAATAGTCCCTCCAATTACAGCTTTAAGAATTAATTGTTAACATTTTCAAACAATGCATATGAAAAGGAAAAGGTTGGCTGCCTTAAAGATGCATACTTTCAATTACATGTATCAAAAATGTTATAATGACTTCAAATTGTTATTCTAAACTTTGCTTTATTTCTTAGCTAACCTAAAAGTTGAATTTCCAGAAACTGTCATTATGTCAAAAAGAATATTGTAGTATACTAGATAATGGTAAGTCAAGTTTCCAAATTAATTATATAATACTTACTAACCATCATTTTGAAATTAAAAAAGTGCTAATGCAACATCATGTACTTAACTCTGAAATGTCCCTAAATTCCACACACAGACACATATTAGTAGTTACAGAGAGTAGAATTTCTTACTGGTCATAGTTGTTCTCATAATTCATACTCTGTAGAACCCTTTTTATGGTATTGTTTGGTTGGCTGCTTGGTTGATTGCTTTTTGTTTTTGTTTTTTGTTTTCATTTAAAACCCTCTGGTGAATAACACTTTCAGAATTCCTTTCCTTACATTACTGGTATTGGTCCTAAATTTTCTGGTTGTTGTGATTTAAATTGTTTTAAGTTATAACATATACACATATACAAGAAGAAATGATTTCCTCCCAGGAAAGTCAGACACCAGTGAGACAAGCACCTTGAATGTAATTTATATAGTGACAACTACAATTGTATTTATTTCTAGAGTGGGAGATAAAACAGAGAAAGTCAGCACAATCAAGGGACTTTCGAAGGGTAGTTAGGAAACATAATAGAGGAGAAAATTTCCTAAAATATATACATATATAAATATGATATAAATGACATTGACAAATAACTGGAGAGACAGAGACCCAACAGACCATTTCTTGTCACCAAATTGAAGCTTTCTATACTGGGTTTTAGTTACATCAAATTGACTTCTTAGCCCAAGGAGTCTTACAGATATCTCCAAACAAACCAGGCTGTTGCCAATACTATAGCTTGATTCCAGGTTGTTGCCAAGACTGTAGCTTGATCCCCACAAACATCCAGAAAGTCTAATTGTTGAATACAACACCTACACCACCCATAGACCATGAAGCAGTGGTTTGGTGCCTAGTAGAGTTTTCACTGCATACATTCTAGCATCTTGGATACCATAAGGTATTCTGCACACTCTCAAAAGAGAAATGTAAATACCAACCTGCCACCAAACTTTTATCTACAATGGTGTCCTGCCTATAAGTTATGCTAGAGCAATGTTTGCACAAAATTTGTGACACTAACCAAAGAACATCTGACTTTATTTAAGTCCTAAAGTCCTGCTGAATGAGATGGAACCCATACCAAACACCACTTGGGTGAGCAAAATCCAGACACTATATATCACAAAGACTTAAGATAAAACCAAAGACTATTAACACTGCTTTTCTTAAGAAGAAAACACACACACACACACACACACACACACACACACACACACACACACACACACAAACCCATAGCAATTAATTGACTCCAAATGACATTTTTGCTATAGTCTTTAGCCAGGGCTTTGCTCAGCCATCAGAAAGAGAAAAGCTGCATTCTGCAGCAGATGAGAAAAAAAACAGAGACCCATAGTCAAAATTATGCAGAAAGACAGGCTTTGGAACACTCAGCCCTAAATGGTATGTCTCCATCATATCCCTCCCCTCAGAGCTCTGGGAGCCCTCTGAAGAGAGAGCAGAAAGTATAAAAGCCAGGGAGGATGAAGGACTTCATGGAAAATTAAGGTATCTAAATCCACATGATTAAAGTTCTGTGAACAGAGAGACAGAAGCACTTGCATAGCATTGCATGGGTAGGTACCACATTATTTGTGGATATGTTATAGCTTCCAGTTTAGTATTTTCATAGAATTCTAGAGGTGCTAATGAGGTCTTTGATTTTTATGACGTTTATTCCAGTTTTCACCTTTTGATTGTTTGGTCAAATTCCAAGGTATTAGCTTTTGGCTTTTTTATTTTGTTACATTTAATTTGATTATTATCACTTAGCAGTCTATTTGTTTTCTACAGAGACAGAAGGGAAGTGGTTATAGGTGGAAAATGAAATGGATTAGCATTGGGAAGAGTAGAGTAAGAGGAAACCATATCAAGATGTTATATAAGAAAAAAATTCAAAAAGATGAAAAAAGTGAATACAATTTATAATCAATAAACTTCCTTTTGCCCCCCCAAAAGAAAAATTTGCTTGTCAACAAATACTTAATGGAATTTATAAAACCATTAAATATCATCTTGAAAATACACAAGTCAAATTTTCTGAAATAATTAAAATCAAGACACAATAAAATGCATTTATAAGACATATTTTTGACAATTTGAAGTGATAATATCCAATCAAAAATTTAAGGACATTTTAAATTTAACCAAGAAAAGTTTTGTTAATAGGTTTTTTTCATGAAATCAATGTTAATATCAAGTTTAAAATAATGTACTTTGTCTTAATTAGTCCTAAAATTAATAATTGGGATTCCAAAAAAACATTGAATAATGCGACCATTAACATGACTTAGATTCTGTGTATTGAAAGTAAAATTAATTTCATGTTAATGTAAATAGGATATTAAAAATATCTCTTTTTTTTGGTTTTTTGAGACAAAGTTTCTTTGTGTAGCTTTGGAGCCTCTCCTGGCACATGATACGTAGACCAGGCTGGCCTTGAACTCAGAGATCGGCCTGCCTCTGCCTCCCAAGTGCTGGAATTAAAGGCATAAGCCATCAATGCCTGGGCAAAAGTAACTTCTTTCAGAAAATAGTAAATACCATAAGAGATAAAGAAATAATGGGGAGAATATTATGCATTAATTACAAATAAATCTCTATAACAGAACATGTCAGAAAGAGCTAAAAGTAAAATTTAAGGTATTGAGTGATATTTTCAGACCAAGAAAAATTTAAAATTATTTCAAATCTCACTTTTTAAAGATAAGAGAATATTAATGATTTGCATATCTCTCAGTGAAATAGTAACAAAGCAATCTTTATACATTAATGAAATAAATAACTACTAGTCAATTGTATGATACAATACTAAAAATGATTAAATCATAATTGTTTCATTGCATTGAGCAAATTGCACAATTTTAAATAGTTTTTCATGTCTTTAGTATGTATAAATTTGTTTCTAATTTTCAGTCAGATTTTTCTACTGTGTTAGCAGAACATTACTTGGGGCAAAATGATCTGTTAGAAATATGTAATTCATCAAACTTCAGTGATGCTGAGGCATCTTATTCGTTGTGAATACTTGATGATCTCTTGAGAAGTCAACGACAGGAGGCTCACAGTTGCTTGAACATTTAATGACAAAGGACTCATAGCCATTGGCTTCTGCAGACTATGCAAATATACTCTCAAAACACACTTATACCCATAAAATAAAATAAAATTCTCTGAACAGACAAAATGATCAGGATGCAGTGATTGCATGTATTGTTTGCATCAATAAACATCTCTCTAATTTGAGTTCAAACCAACTGAACAAGGGAGAAATAATGTTTGAGACTGGAAACCTACCTAACAGCCAGTATTAGTGAGTTCATAGTTCTTGGAAGAGAACTTACAATTGCTGATTTCCTAAACAAAAATTAGATTTAAATGTATTTTTAATATTTGTCTATATACACACAGATAAGTCTAGTCCTGAAAGATTATCAAGGAAACTTCTGTTTATAACAGAGACTAGTATAGAAAACCACAACAAATTGAAAAGTAGAGTGGTAGAGGCCAGTCTAAAAGGTTGCATCTCCAAAAAACCTGCAACACATAAGTATCAAGAATCATTATTGAAGAGGGGTAAGGAAAATTTTAGGAGCCAGAGGATACAAGATCTCGGTGAGATTTTTCTCCTAGGAATAGCTAAGTACTGTAACTCTCCAGTTGTTTTAACAGAAGTATTTTAAGTGTGTGTTTCTGTGCTTGAATATATACAGATGTAGGCACCTCTTGTCTGTAAAGTTGAGATAATAGTAGTTAGTATAATTATCTATCACTTTCCACCTTATTTTGATTGATAGTATCTCTCACCCTTGCTCTGAAAATCTTTTTCAATGTGTCTAGCACCAAACATCCCTAGAAAACTTATTTCTATCCTCG